GAAGCTTAAGCCACTTCCACATGAGTTCGATCCCCGCCTGCCCCAGAGGAGATCCACATGGCTCGGCAGACCTCTCCTGACCAGCCCGCTGCTCTCTCAGCAGTGTACTTCGTCGATCTGCCTGTTCTGCTCCCCACTCTGCCTGGTGAATCCTCTCACCCTCCGCATCTCTGGCCTGTACCCCAGTTCTGTACGAATAAATAAATAAATCTTTAAAAAAAAGATTCTGCTCTAAAAAAAAAAAAGGTCAAGTATTTCAAGATTTCTAAGTTTAACTAGAGAACATAGGTCTTGAGTTAAAAAAAAGAACAACGCACAAGAGCATGGAACAGCAATGTAGGAAATGAGAGCTCAAAACACCATGATGGTTTTCAGATCAAAAATAGTGAAAGTATGTTCCCAAGCATATGTGCAGAGTCACTTTCAAAGATATGAAAGGGCAGGCCCAAAATACATAAAAATAATTTCTGAGTTCTGCAACTAAAATTGGCAACAACATTGCTGGGGAGATAAGAGCAGAAGCAGTAAATTCATATACAGATGAATAGTAACCACTCACTATAACCATATGAATGAGAGACTAAATAAATATTTTGGGTGGGGATCCAGAAAATAATATCAAATTAATTCTTAGCACAGTACCTAAAAGTGACTCCTTTGGCTCAGCAGGGATTCACTAAAGAGAGCACAGCTTGAAAGTAGCAAACTCACTGATGAACTAAGAGATGCACACACCTAAAGGCAGGTTGTCTGTCTTCTGAACGTCTTCAAAACTACATTAGATAATAATGCAATTGTCAATCCCTGTTACCTACCGTGATACTGTGATATTAAGAATTACATATTTGGTCATTCAGATGGCCAAAATATACTTGACATACATATTTGGTCTTACTCCATAGTTCCTTACTAACAGTTCCCAAAACCCTTGCAATTTCCTAAGTACTCATAACCACCGAGGTGTCTTATGTGAGAGGGGTGACCTTTGGAAGCATCCAGGATGGGGGCTGGCTGCCAGGAGAGCCAACCATATGATTAAATAATTAAAACTCCCAGCCACTACTGCAAATATACACAAGGCAGGTTCACTACTGATTCAGATGGATGGCCAAAGAGTCTGAAGTTTTTACAGGCTTGTATTCTCGAAGGAACCAGGTACTACAGTTAGACCAGCAGGCAGACAGACCAAAAAGGCTGCCTCCCAAGCCTCCTAGGCCCCCATGAATATTTTGGTTCTTTCTCTAGCATCCTCAGTCTGTATCACCTTGTGATCTCACCAGTAGCCCTCCTCATGTGCTGTCTTTAACTCTGTCCTCTAGGCATAGATGTGAGCATTTACACATGTGCCCAGCACGCCCATGCTCTCTGGGCCCAGGTATCCATAATTACAAGTGTGTGTATCCCACACCGCTCAGCATCCATGCTAGTGGCAAAAGGGCACAAAAACAGCCTGATTTTTTATTTCATTTACCCTCACAGTCCTTGGTTGGAGACTGAGTTCAATGCTCCAAGGTCAATGAGTTAACCAATCATGCCTACTTAAGGAAGCCCTCATAAAACCCCCCAAATTTAAAGAGATTTGTGAACACATGCATATTTGGAAAGAGTGGCATGACTGCAGAAGGCAGTTAAGTTCCCATATCTCTTCCAACCAAAAAATGTCCTTGTAATAAATGAGTAAATGGATTTTCTCAGTTCTAGCTCTCCAACAAATGAATGAAACCTGAGGAGAGAGTTGTAGGAAACTTTGATTTAAAGCCCTTTCGAAGCACAAGTAACAACATCCATGGTTTGAAACCGTAGTATCTAAAGGAGGAAAGATTTGGTTTGCAGCAACTTGTTCTGATGTTACTTTTGGGGGAGGTACATGTTCCCTACCACCTAAGTACATGCAGCCTCCCTGGCCTAGTTCCTGGGAACTACAGGTCAAAAGATGAAACTTAACATAGAAGAAGGCAGATGGGTGTAGGGTGAATGGAAGTGATCAGGATTTTTCCACCCTCCTGCCATTAGCATCAGTGATTGACACTTGTGGCCTTACACGCGTGCCTGGTGGGGGCACCTGGAGGGTGGTGTGGGCTCGCATAGGTAGGTGCACCTGAGCCAGACACTAAACGTATAAAGGTGGGTCACAGAGGACAGGGCAGCAGAAGACCTAGGGCAGAGTGTACTGGAGAGTGGTAGAGAGCATCAGAGAATGGCTAAGAGAGTTAAGAGCAAACAGGGATTCTTTGGGGAGAGAAGGGCCAAAGTTTCTGTCTCCCTGCTGGTTTTTCTCTTCTAATCTGTGGGCATGATGACAAGAGCTCCAAGGTTCTCTTTCAAGGTCCCTGAACCAACAATGAACCTACCCAGCCTGGGATGGCTGCAGAACAGTGGGTTCAAGAAGAGCTCTTATTCCTGCAGTTCAACTTGCACCCTGATGCTGCTGGGAAGGAGATGTAGAGGAGAAACATGTAGAGACACCTGCAAGACACATAGGTAGAGAGACTTATGGGGAGGCTGACAATGGCAACTGTTATCTTAATGTGGTATCTCCTTTTGTCAGTTTTTTTGGAAACTAACACTTTTTGTTTCCTGCTGGAAGGTGAGACCTGTGGCAAGCAGCAATGGACCCACCTGCCCTGTCTGGATGGGCATTTATCCACAAGAGGATGGCTGATTTTGCATTTAATATCCTTTCTTCACATCCCTCTCTATGCACACTAATTAAAAATTCTGGCCCTCCCTGGTGGCGCAACAGGTTAGAACACAGCACTGCAAGCTAGCCACAACCGCTTCAGTGAGAGTTCGATTCCTGGCACCGGAAGTGACCCACATGGCACAGCAAAACCTCTTCTGACTCGCCCACTATTCCCTTCAGCAGTGTTCTTTATGGATCTGCTTGTTCTACTCCCTAATCTGTCTCTAGTGAATCTGTCAGAAATGAGTTAAATTACAGGATATTTATCTTATACCTGAGAACTACATGCTGGTGTAAGGAAATTACTAAAATTGGGTACAGAACACCATTCACCTAATGTTAAACTTACACTATACCTTTTTAGTAAGCAAAATTGTAAATAAATTGGTGTGCTAGACAGAGATTCAAGAAAAAACAAGACTCAGCTTGTGACAAAGCAATAAACACTACAGATAACGCTTGATTCACTAGAACCTCTCTAGTCATACATAGCTCAAAAAACTACACAATTCAGAATGATCATACTGAAACATGAAAAAGCTAAACTCTATATAGTTCATTTTGTTTAGCATTAAAATTCCCAAAGATTTATACTTTGCAACTGTTAGGCAATAGTTCAATTACTGGAATACTCCATTACTCAATCACCATAGAAATGTATGCGTTTACTGCAAACATGGTCCTCTAATTCAGTTCACCTTGATTGCATTTGTCATTTAACACACAATTATTAAACACTTACTGTGTGCCAGGTACTAATGAAACAAATTCGGCATGGCTTACAGACAGCAAATATTATATAATCAAACAAGAGCCATTATGGAAATATGTGTAAAGAACAATGAAAATATACAGAAGGAAAATATAACAGGAATTATTTCTTCCTGGGAAATTACAGGTTTTGTGAAACTACCTAAAATTTTAATGGAATCTTAAAGGATTAAGATTTTCCTAAAAGGACCTTCCTTTAAGGAAGACTGGGCTTTTTTATTCCATTGAAAACGTAAAGTAGTAAAAGGTTTTGAGCAAGGATGTGATATAGTTTTGGTTTTAGAGAAATATTTCTGTTCATAAAACAAAAGAATAAAATCAGAAACAACAAGGTTCAGTAGCTCCAGTAAAAGATTATTAAAACCCCTAGTATCTTAGACCATGGCAACCAGACTTGGCCTCACAGTGACCACACCTCTTAACTAGAAGAAACAGGTCATTACCAGCAATTTCCAATGAACCGCAATCCTGGAAGCAGTGTATGTGCACCGCTTCTCAATAACCTTGTCAAAGAAGCTCCTCAGCTTTCATATTACTTAGTGACAAAGGCCTTCCAGGTATTATGTACGTATATTAAAAAAGAAGACACCTTGGCAAAGTTAACTCTAAATTAGCAGTAGTCAAAATACATAACTGTGTTTTATTCTCATTCTACTTTCTATTAATCAATATCCATATGAAGGAGAATGGCTGATCTAAGGAAGACACTAAACAAACATAGGCAAAGTTTGCCTTCTCATTCCTTTCATAATCAGTTACCATTTTTCTGACCTACTTCACTACTTCTTTTCCTCATTACCCTATCCTATCCCCAACAGTTTCATATTTTTTGAGACTGCTGCTACAATGTCCTCTGGAACCTGTTTTGCTGGAACCTTGCTCCTATGATGAAACTAATGATATTTTTCTCAAACACCATGTAACCTGATAAATGAACAGTAACTATAAACATTCACTCTCCTTTTCTCTTTCTTCCTAAGTCTAAGGCTTTCTCTTAAACTCCTGCAGGAATCTTTAAATGTCTTTTACTTTCTTACATATTCAATTTAAATATCCTTTATCTTTCCTACACATTCAACTTTCTCTATTTACTAGCATCTTTTCCTCCTCATATATACATATTTAAGTCTTAAACAATAAAACCCTCAGCTTCAAAGGTTAAATAAGTGCTAGAATGTGGGCTTTACTTTACGGTGTCCTCCCCTTAGTCTGCACCGCCTCATTCTTCCCCTCACTCAAATTCATTTACCAGTCCTTTGTAATGTGGCTTCTGATAATCTAGAGTTACATAATATTACATTACATAACCCAAGGGCTCCTGATCTAAGGTAGGGTCTGTGGGTAAAACTCAGGAAATCCATGAACTTGTATGGGAAATTAAACATTTTTCCCCCAACATCTAAAAATACAATACTAGTATTTACTGTTCTAAATTTACTAAATTTCTTTACGCCTGCCATTATATCTTTGTATTATGTTAAATAAGTACATGTCACGTTACCACACTTAACTTGGTAGTAGATTTTAATATAAATTCCTCCCTTTGCAATCATTATAATTTATTCATCTGTGGTTCACTGTGTTTTCCAAATAGACTGCAAAAACACCCCTCATTCCACATGTTTTTCTATAATGTAAATTTGCCACTCTCTCATAAAGAGCTATAGATTTTAATTCCCTTCTCTTTGTATCCAAGGTGACGCTTAACATCTTCATAACCAAGGTAATGTGGAACTGACAGTGAGCAACCTCTCAGGCAAGCTTAGGAAAAGTAATCAGGTTCTCTGACCGGATTTGGTGTAGTTTGTTAAAAAGCAATAGTCAGCAGAACTGAATCTGGCACCTGCAATTGGAGTACTGATATAACAAAAAACATAAAACATATTAACACCATCTTTCCAGTTTCATTATAAAATATCTGAGGAGCCATGAAGTGGCAGAGAATTTTACCAAAACTGCTGCCTGTGAAGTAAAAAACAGAAATTGCTTGTAATGACTTGTTTCTTCTAGTTAAGATAATTTCCAAGCAGGATGGCCAAGTGTCAAATGGTTTCACTGAAATGCATAGAAGGTCTAGAAAGAGTTGAGCAAAAGAAGAAAGTATGTTTTCAAACAGATGTTAGAAGAAAAAAAATAAAGGAATCAGGTAGCTTCTTTATAGAGGTATTGCTGGGTTCAAAAATAAAACTATTTTCTATCCACAATCTCTCCAAAGCAGAGAAAGCTCAAAGTCAGAAAAGGCTTGAGGACAAAGATCAAATACAAGGTGCTGAAAGGAAAATCTGGTCTCCAGGTAGAGAGGAAGCCAGGAGTAAAATCCTTGTTAATGTTTGGCTTCTCCTTCTTGATCTCCTTCCCAGTGCCATTATCTGTACTTGTCCACTAAAACTAGATGTGCCCAGAGGTTTTATCCTCAATCGTGAGCAATTTCTTCAACCACTCCCAATCTATTAACCTCAAAATCTCTCTCAGTTAAGCCCACATTTTTCTCCAAGAACTACAGACAGAACTGAACAGCTCTACTTCCCAGGAAGAACTTCAACTAAATATTTCAAAATCTTATATACCACCTACCCCCACAACTTCTTTCTAGATCTAAACATGCATTGGAAATAAATAGCACCACCAACCCATTTCATTGTGCACTGGAAGGTCATCCCTGATTTCTACTCCCCAACACTGCCCCAAGCAACCTCCTCCCTCACAACAAATATTTAATCAAGCATCAACTTCTGTAAAGTCTACCTGCTAAAACCTCTCTGGAGTGTCTCTCTTACATTTAGTCTAGATCACATAGCCTTCCAACTATCTTCCAAAATCTTTCACACTGTGCTCAAAATCATCTTCATAAAGTACTAGCCATCTAACTGTCTTGCTTAAGATCCTTCAAGAACTCTGTATTAAAACCTTCAGACTTAGCTTACAAATAGATACTTTGTGACTATCCTTTCCCTACAAACTGCCTCACACAATATTTCTAACAACCATGCCAAAATACAGGTCCCCAAGTGGTTAAGCTCTTTTCTCTAGAAGGCAACTCCTATTAGAAATCCTAAGTATCTTCATTATGAATACCTAATTTACATTATGGAAGACTGAAATCAACCCAAATGCCTAAAAATACATAACTGGATTAAGAAGATGTGGTACACACACACAATGGAATATTACTCAGCAGTCAAAAAAGATAAACTCATGCCTTTTGCAGTAACATGGATGGAGCTAGAAGGGATCATGCTTAGTGAAATAAGCCTGAAAGATAAAGGAAAATACCAGAAGGTTTCACTCATAGCAGCAGCATAAAGGATCAGGAAAAAAAAAAAAAAGAAAGAAAGACAATTGTAATAAAGTAAAACCAAAAAACAATGAACAAATATAAGCCAAAGACATTTTACAGGGGTGGAGAGGGGAATGTAATCAGAACTGGGGTGAGAAGAGTGCTTAGTACTTAGAATGCCTAAGTATTCATTTAATTCAACAATTATAGTGTACCCACACTGAAGCAATTCTGGTTACCTATATTCCAGAGCTAAACACAAAGTTAAATGAGAAATAGTTCCTGTCTCTTTTCTGGAAAACCACAGAAAGGAGATAGTTAAGTACAACAAAGGAATTTACAATGGAAGGTAGTAAGAAGGTTTGGTGGACTGTTCTTTGGAGAGATGAGAGCGATAAAGCAGGCAGTAAGCAAAGAACATACTGTGTAATACATTTTCCTTGGGCAGCAAGTTTCTCCAACATAACTAACAAAATATTTAATGTTATTAATGTATTCAAAAAGAGAATACAAATTTCCATGAAAGTTGCAATGAAATACTTAAACATTCATGAATCATTTTATCAAGAATAATCATTCAGAATTAAAATTTAAAGTAGCATTATTAAGTACAAAGAAGTCACTTTAAGGAAGATACCCTCTTAAAATGGAGTAAGTCATTTTTTATTATGTTTATTTATCTATTTA